TTTTATGACATTTTAGGATTTTTCATGTAGTTATTTCAGGCCATGCACGTGATTTAACCTAAGTTCCGAATATTACAAAATAATGGCCTTAAAAATAAATTTTTAGTAGCAAGCATGCCTAAGTAGAAATTTATATATAAATCACCCTCATTTATCATGTTATTGATGCTGAAAAAGTTTGAGCCTAATTGGAGTTTGTTTGTTCGGTCAAATCGTTCATGAAAATGTGACATTTTGGACCCCCGAGCCTTAGTATTGTGCCTGCAAGATATGACACATGCATTAGCCCCTATAGTCATCATTTTGGGTGTTAATCATTCGGACCTAAGTAGTTTTATAAGTTATGAATGTTGGTTCGATGAGTTAGGGCTCGTAGGTGCCATATAGGCCCTCCCGAGCCACATGCAAAATGATCCGAGTCATCCTAGCATTTTATGTGATACATATGCTTTTTATATCATATCATGAAGTTATGTTATGCATGTCATCGGAAAAAGTCGCCGGAGGTCCGGCAAGGGCCGGCCTTGGTCACTGGCCGCACATATAGTGCGGTAGTGCCCGGTCCCAGTGTCTGTAGAGGCTAACCCCAGTCAGTGCCCGCGCCCGGTAGGAATGACGCACAACCCACGTGCACGCAACAGCGCCCACAGCACCCAGTGTGTGCCGTGTAACCAGCATCGGCGCCAGTCGCGCCCAGCACCCTCCGACAGGGCCCGGCAGCGCTATCCTCGCCCATGCATGCGTGGTTTCGAGCCAGCCGCTCGTGCCTCGCGCAGAATAAGCCCCAGTAGCCCCAACATGCGTGGCAAAGGCACCCAACGTGCCCAGGCCACATGCATGGTTCCCGGCAGCACCGTGCGAAGCCCCAGCGCACGAGGATTCGTGCCAGAGCCTCGTGCCATGCCCAGTGCCGACCCGCAGCGGGTCTGTTGAGCCCAGTAGGCCTCAGTGCGTGCCTAGCAGCAAACCCGAGTGGCCAGTGACCTCAGGGACGCCGGACCAGCGCCCGTGTGGCCTCTGTCCGCGTCTGCCCGCATCAGCCCGCACCTGTCCGTGCACAGCCGCACGACAAGACCTCAGTCTAGCCTCGGCCGTGCTCAGCAAGCACCCGAGAGGCACCAGTTGTGCCAAGGCCATGCCAGCAGCCTCTAGCCGTGCCCATTAGTGCCCAGCAGCACCATTGGCCGGTTTGACTGGCGGTTCGAGTCTGTTTTGATTCGTAACTTCCGGTCTGAGTCTCTTTTCAGAATTTTAGCATTTTTTCGAGCCGAGCCAGTTAAGTTTTATCGATTAGATAAATCCGAGCATCATAGCATATAAATAAATATTATGAGCATTATACTTAGCATTATTTTTCTTAAATGTTTATGTAGCCTAAGGAGAGTCGAGCTTGCGACCGCTACTCCAGTTTTCAGCACTCGCGTCAGTTCAGTTATCAGGTGGGGGTCATGTACTGGATTCCACATTATATATAATATTTGTTCCATGACAGAGGTATGTTCGAGACAGTTAGTTTCCCTAGGTGATTGGCCGACCTAAGGGCCTTTCGAGTTTTACCTGGTACCGGTGGAGGCCGAGGGCCTTAATATCCCATCGGGGTGTGCACACGAGCGATCGAGGCCGAGGGTCTTTTGACCACAATAAAGAAAGAAAAAAAAGTTTACAGTTCAGCTCTTATATATTTATGTTCATGACAAGTTATTATACATGATGTCTTATTCAGTACTGGTCTTTGCGGAGCATAGTGGTTTGCTCATGCCCCCATTGTGTTTTTCAGGAGACAGAGTCGAGCGTGCCAGATGAGCTATGCGTGGCGAAGCGTGGTCATGACAGCGAGGACATTTTTACGCACATTTTCTGTCCTTATTTTTATGATCATGTATTCATTCAGATATGTATGCATGTACTCTATGTATTTCTGTATTTCGGATGCTTCCGCTAGCAGACTTTAGACTGTGCGAGACAGTTCAGACGTGGCATGTATGATTCCATATCCGTAGCAGATAGTTTGGTTGCATGTTTTATTATGTCTGTGAGTTAAGAAAAGTATGTTTTTATCTGTGACATCCCGCAACAAGTTAGTGTTTTCGAAAACCAAGCTCGCACCACCTTTCGAAAACAAAAGCGAAAATTTTACTCTGATTTTTCAAAGCTAGTAAGGCGGGGTGCCACAAAAACTGTGCACAAAGTTTAGAGATGTCATTACACAAAGTTATTGGAAGTTTGAAACATGACATAGGCAATATAGGAAGAGCCTGAATCACTGCTTTAAGTAAGACTTCCTTTCCAGCTGCTGAGAGGAGTTTTGGATTTCCAGCCTTGCAGTTTGTTTTTGATGGAAGTCAGTAGATATGCGAATGTATCCTTCTTTGATCTTCAAATCCCCAGTGGAAGTCCCAAGTATCTGGTTGAGCTGTGTACTTGGTTTCCTTGCAAGGATCTGCATATTGGCCTGTTGGAGGTGTACTGGAGTGTTTCTGCTGAAAAATATGGTGGATTTACTGAGGTTGACTCTTTGCCCTGTAAAAATTCTGTACTTATGTAAAATATCCATGAGAACATGTGCTTGATCAACACTAGCCCTGCAGAACAATAAAGAATCATCTGCAAAAAGCAGATGTGTTAAAGATGGGCCATTTTTGGATAGTTTCAGTCCTTGTAGCTGTCTAGAATTAGAGGAATGAGCTATTAGTGCAGATAGCATTTCAGCCGCAATGATAAATAAGTATGAGGAGAGAGGGTCTCCCTGCCTAATGCCCCTTGTTGGTTTCACCATACCACAGACTTCTCCATTTATTTTGAAAGAGATGGAGGAGGATGAAATGCATGACATGACCAGTTTAACAAAATCTTTGTGGAATCCCATCTGTATCATAATTTGTTGAATGCATGACCATTCCACTCTATCAAATGCCTTCATAAGGTCAAGTTTAAAGGCCATAAAGAAATTTCTCCCAGAAACATGCCTATTCAGATAATGAAAGACTTCATGAGCAATTATAACATTGTCTAACAGTTGTCTGCCTTTGATGAATGCAGATTGGGATCTACTTATGCAGCTATTGAGACAATGTTGAAGTCTATTCACAAGAATTTTAGTAATGACCTTGTATATCACTGTGCAGCGACTAATAGGTCTATATTGACTTATAGTCTCCGGAGAGGCACATTTAGGAATCAAGGATAATATAGTATGGTTCCAATATTTAAGCAGCTGACCAGTTGAGAAAAAGCTTTGAATAGAAGCTAAAAACTCAGCTTTAATGATAGACCAACAATTTTGATAAAATGAAGCTGACATACCATCCTCTTCAGGAGTTTTGTCTGGATGTAGATTGAAAAGTGCAGCTTTTATTTCCTCTTCAGTCACTGGGAGCAGGAGTTGTTGACTCATATCTGGTGTGATGGTGCTGGGGATCAACTGTAGTAAAGATTCTCCTCCCCATGAGCCTTCTGATGTGAAAAGTTGTGTGTAAAACTCTGTAATGTGATATTGAATAGCTGCCTGAGATGAGAGATGTTGGCCATTTGGAGAGATTATCTGGTAATTGCATTGAGCCTCCTTCTCTGATGAGTAAATGCATGGAAGAATTTGGTATTACCATCACCTTCTTTCAGCCAATGTAGTCTGGATTTTGTCTGCCAAAAACTTCCTCCTAGTGATGTGCTTTTTCTAATTCTTTCCTGGTTTTATTCCATTCCTCCCAAGAGGATTCTTCTTTATTAGCTCTGATTTGTTCCAGTTTTTTAGTGAAAGTATCAATTGCAATCTGGTTCTGTGATCTGAAATTTGATGTAACGTCCCAAAACAGTAATAATATTCAGAACGGTTTCACTGCTCGACTATAAGTGAAATCCGTAAGTTTCAGAAACTTTCGAGTTATATTATTNTCGAAAACCCAGCTCGCACGTTCTTTCGAAAATAAAAACAAAAATTTTACTCTGATTTTCAAAGCTAGTAGTAAGGCGGGGTGAGACATTTGAGCTCCATATGAGAAGTGCCAATCTTGTTCTCTTCACCTTCTCCTTCAACTGATGAATGGGGTGCCAATAATTGAGTGAGACCAAGCCTTAGATACAGTTTGAGCAAAATTTTCTTTCGAGAGCCATCTTTTATCGAATGTAAACCTTTTATTCTTCCTAATTTTCACCTACCCCAGATCAAGCAAAAGAATGGCATGGTCTGATGAGCTGGTGATCTTGCTGCTTACTTTGGCATTAGGATAACAGTGGAGCCAATCCAATGATGCAAATGCTCTATCTAATTTCTCTTCTACCAATTCTTCATTGCATCTATTGTTGCACCATGTATATTGATAACCAACCATATTTATTTCCTCCATTTCCATCTGGTCAATGAACTGATTGAAAGCTGCAAAACTTCGATCACCTCTGGTTATACCACCTGCTTTCTCACTTTGTGCTCTGATGTCGTTTCAATCTCCAATGATAAACCAGTGTCACCCCCATTGTTGCTTTGTTTGACACAATTCCTCCCACTGTGCCACTCTTTGTTCTCTGCAGGTATTTATATAGACAAAGATGCCCCACTGTTTATCCTCTGTTGGTAATTGAAATTCAACTGCAATGAAGAAACTCGAACTGTATACTTGATGAATAGTTACTTGTGAGCTCTATAATAATAATAAACCCCCACTGATACCTCTGGGATCCACCACAACCATCCTGTCTCCAAAACCTAACTTTCTACTAACTGATTTAACATAGCCATTAGTTTTTTTCATTTCAGACAAGAAAATGAAGTGTGGGTGGTGAGACCTTATTGTCTCTCGGATTTGGGAAACTGTAGAGGGCCCACCCAGCCCTCTACAGTTCCACACTGTAGCTAACATTGATCATTTGAGTGCCATTCCAGGCTGGCCATCCCACCTTTGAAGAAGAAATCAATTTCTGCTTTTTAGAGTTACCTGAATTGAGATCTTGTTCTTCTGTGTTTTCTTGATGTGTTTTGCCTTTAGATATGTCTCTGTGTCTCTTACCAATGGCATGTGGAATGATTATTTTAGTGCTACTTTCCATTCTTTGCAATCTGCCAGTTTTTGGACCAATCCTTTTCCATGTTTTGGGTGGTGTAGTTTGCTCTGTCTGGGGTAAGAGTTTCATTTCTTGGTGAATGATCAAAGCAGTGGAATTGGGGATTGGTTCCACTTCCATTTCTCTGTCCATGCCTTCCGTTTGTGGTTTGGAAGGTCCATCTTTGACTGCAATCTTGCTTCTCTCCAATTGAATGGGGAGTGAGGTGGAGCCAGTGGATTGCATAGTTGATGGTGAGTGCTGTTGGTGAAGCACCAGCTGGTGGCTGACTTGCTGTCTTGTTGTGGAGTGATGAAGAGATGTGTCCTGTCTAGTTGTTGAAGTGTGCTCTGAATGAGGTGGACTTCTTGAACCTGAGTTACTCACTTCAATCCAATGTTGTCCCTCTGTTGCCCGTAACCATTCACCAAACTGATCAGTCAAGACAAACTGTACATAAACGTACTAGTGTAACTAATCAGTCAAGGCAAATTGTACAGTTGACACTACAACCGTTCGGATGGGGCGTTCAGGTCCATCTAGGTTGTGAACAACTATTCTTGTTCGCAAATAACTGATAGAGTGATCTTCGGTTCGCTCGATGACGACCTCTATCTAAGTGCAGAACAACAGAATGTAGACCTTGTTTAATCTAACATGATTCTCATTCATAAAGGGTAAATGTGTAATAACATGCAAAGCCAAGCTTTCAGTATATAACCCTAACAATCTCCCACTTACACTTAAAGATTTCGCTTTTACAGTATAGTCCTATCAATCCGTTATTCTAAAATACCTATGTCGATCCTATTGCCATGCTCATGACTCCCATTCCTTCCATGTGTTTGGCGAAGACCTTCCTCGGCAAACTCTTCGTGAAAGGATCAGCTAGGTTGTTTTCTGACGCAATCTTGGCAACATCAACGTCTCCTCTATCAACGATATCCTGAATCAGATGGTATTTGCGCTCTATGTGCTGCTTGCCCTGTGGGCGCGAGGTTCTTTTGAGTTTGCTACTACTCCACTGTTACCACAATACACGGTGATACCACGTGGCAAACTCGGTATAACTTCTAAGTCCACTAAGAAGTTCTTGAGCCAAACTGCATCTTTCGCTGCCTCTGAGGCTGCTATATACTCGGCTTCCATGGTGGAGTCTGCCACGCATTTCTGCTTAGCACTCCTTCATGAAATGGCTCCACTTCCCAAGGTAAACACATAACCTGAGATTGACTTACTTTTATCCCTATCTGACTGGAAATCAGAATTACATTAACCCAGAGGTAACAAGCTGTCTGCACGGTAAACTAACATGTACTCCTTAGTCCTTCTCAGGTACTTGAGTATATGCTTCACCGCAGACCAATGTTCCCATCCTGGATTACTTTGATATCTAGTTACCATGCCAACGGCGTAGCTAATATCCGGCCTAGTGCACAGCATTGCATACATGAGACTTCCTACTGCCGAAGCATAAGGAACTGTCTTCATATCCTCTATCTCCTTAGACGTCTTAGGAGACATCTCCTTAGATAGAGGTATTCCATGTATGAAAGGTAACATACATTTCTTGGAATCCTGCATACTGAATCTGGCCAAGACAGTATCTATGTATGAAGACTGGGATGAGAACAACATTCTCTTCTTACGGTCTCTAATGAGCCTAATACCAAGAATGTGTCCTGCTTCACCTAAGTCCTTCATATCAAACTGCTTAGACAACCACACCTTTACGTCTGACAACTTCTTTTTACTGTTTCTAATAAGCTGTATGTCATCTAGGTAAAGCACAAGAAACACCACCACGCTCCCACTGATTTTCTTGTAAACACAGTGCTCATCCGGACATTGAGTGAACCCGTACAACTGGATCACCTCATCAAAATGGATGTTCCAAGTCTCGAAGCTTGCTTCAGTCTATAAAATAGACCGATTAAGCTTACACATTAGATGCTCACGACCTTCAGCAATGAATCCCTCTGGTTGCAGCATATAGATGCCTTCCTGCAGGTTCCCTTTAAGAAAATCGGTCTTGACATCCATCTGCCAGACCTCATAGTCCATATGAGAGGCTACAGCCAAGAGAATCCGAAATGGACTTAAGCATAGCTACTGGCAAAAAGGTCTCATCATAATCAATATCCTCGATCTGGGTATAACCTTTCGAAACAAGCCTAGCTTTGAAGGTTTGCACCTTCCCATCCGATACTCTCTTTCTCTTATAGATCCACTTACATCCAATGGGTCGTACCCCATCGGGTGGTTCTACAAGATCCCAGACCTGATTGGAGTCCATTGACCCCATTTTAGCTTTCAATGCAACATTCCATGAATCTACATCTTTATCTTGGAGTGCCTCTTCGTAAGTTCTTGGGTCCGATTGTAGGCCTCCTGGAACTGAGTCCGATGACTCTCCAAGACCTATCCATCAGTCGGCTAAATGAGAAACCCTCCCACTGCGATGAGGCACTGTCTGCACTCGTACACTCTCAGTGTGCCGTGTTGCAGTATTATGTGATGTATCTACTTGCGCACTCGGTGGGAAACCATCGACTTCACCCCTTAACTCCTCTAAGACTAATCTACTCGCGGGCTTATGATTCATAATATAGTCTTCTTCCAAGAATCTAGCGTTCGTCGAAACAATCACCTTCTGATCCCCAGAACTATAAAATAATCTACATTTCATTTCCTTGGGATAGCCAATGAAAACTCGTGCTTCCAAACGTTTTTCCCATTTGCCAGGTGTTAGAGTAGGGTACCCGGCGTTCCAATCTAATTGGACGTATTCTACTTGTAAATACAGTCTATTGGAATTATATTATGAATAAGGCATTTCTTTATCTTAAGAGAAAGCATTTATCTTATAATTGCACTTAAGATAAAATCCCTAGATCACTTATGGTTATAAGGTATGGTTGCGCATAGAGATGGTGATCATGGAACATACCTTGAAAGCCATGATCTTAAATACAGTTCCAAGTCGATGGATGTTTTGAGATGGGATATCGAATAATCCATAAAAAACTTGCACATAGTTTGTATGCTTGTTGGACAAGAATGTTGCATTCCATCAACATTAGCGTAAGACGTAAGTACATTTATGTGGGTGCTTGTTAGAGAACAAGTTCACTGAACATGACCGTATGAAAATTCTTAATGAAGAATTTAT